GGAACGCCGGAACCCCTTGGTGCTGGGGCCATCGAGGGGGTGGGACGGACCCCATTCCTCCTTCACAACATCAAGGTGTTGTGGCCATCGAGGGGGCGGGACGGACCCCCTTCCTCCCCCGCAGCACGAAGGTGTCGTGCCCACCGAGGGGGCGGGACCGCAAGAACCCCTTGGTGCTGTGGCCATCGAGGGGGCGGGACGGACCCCATTCCTCCCTCACAACATCAAGGTGGTGTGGCCATCGAGGGGGCGGGATGGACCCCCTTCCTCCCCCGCAGCACGAAGGTGTCGTGGCCACCGAGGGGGCGGGGCGGACCCCCTCCTCCCCCTCAGCAAGAAGGGGCCCCGGCGTTTCGGGAGCGCCGAACCCCCTTGGTGATGCAGGAAGAGAGGGTGCGGGACGGACCACTTTCCTCCCCCGCAGCACCAAGGAGTTGTGGCCACCGAGGGGGTGGGACGGGCCCCCTCCTCCCCCGCAGCACCTAGGGGGTCCGGCGTTCCGGGAACGCCGGACCCCCTTGGTGCTGCGCGCATCCGAGGGGGCGGCACGAACCCCCTCCCTCCCCCGCAGGACCAGGGGGGTGGGACGTACCCGCTTCTTCCCCCCCCTCCCTCCCCCGCAGGACCAGGGGCATCGAGGGAGGTGTTGCAGGACCAGGGGGTTGGGACGGACCCGCTTCATCCCGCAGGAGGGGGTCCGTCCCACCCCCTCGATGCCCCTAGTCCTGGGGGGGACGGACCCGCTTCATCCCCCCGCAGCACCAAAGGGCTCCGGCGTTCCGGGAACGCGGGACCCCCTTGCTGCTGCGGGCATCGAGGGGGTGGGGCGGACCCGCTTCATCCCCCGCAGCACCAAAGGGGTCCGGCATTCCGGGAACGCCGGACCCCCCTTGGCGGTATGGGCATCGAGGGGGTGGGACGGACCCCCTCCTCCCCCGCAACACCCAGGGGGTCCGGCGTTCCCGGAACGCCGGACCCCTTTGGTGCTGCGGGCATCGAGGGGGTGGGACGGACCCCCTCCCTCCCCCGCAGGACTAGGGGGGGTCCAGCGTTCCGGGAACGAGGGGGTGGGACGGACCCGCTTCATCCCCCGCAGCACCAAAGGGGAGCGCCCCCGCAACACCAAAGGGGTCCGGCGTTCCAGGAACGCCGGACGCCCTTGGTGCTGCGGGCATCGAGGGGGTGGGACGGACCCCCGTCATCCCACGCAGCACCAAAGGGGTCCGACGTTCTGGGAGCGTCGGACCCCCTTAGTACTGCGGCATCGAGGGGGTGGGACGGACCACCTTCCTCCCCTGCAGTGCCAAGGGGGTCCAGCGTTCCCGGAACACCGAACCCCCTTGGCGCTGCGGGCATCGAGGGGGTGGTACGGACCCCCATGGTGCCCGGCTTGCCCCTTCCTCCCCTGCAGCACCGAGGGGGTCTGTCTTCTCTGAAAAAAACGGGCTTCGGGGAGGTAGAGAGATAGATAGATAGATAGATAGATAGATAGATAGACAGATATATATATATATATATATATATATATATATATATATATATATATATATATATATA